TTAATAAATGCTTGGAAAGTACTTTGAAGATGAAAGGCCAAATTCACAGTAGGAAGGCATTGAACTGATTTGTTCACTCCTTTGCAGCAAAAACAGCCTATACTTAGAGAAAGCAAGCAAGAAATTGCCATTTGTTATTGCCATCTACTCCCTTCTCTACCTATTTTCAGCTATTATTATACTCTGTGTTTAGCTAATGTTTGATTCAAGTAAATCATATGTGTACAACTATTTATCAGCTAAAGTTAATCATGTGCCTAATTGATTGTCAGATTAGATGCCAAGTGTAAATGGTATACAGAGGACTGTAGATTATCATATATATGACAAATATATTTAGCATTAGTCATCAGCTCTCTGAAGTTGGGACCATTTTTAAGGTTTTTTTTCTACCTTAGCATCAAAGTAAACTGTTAATGACAGGTGTTTCTTAAACTTTTGTATTATTAAATATATTTATAAAAATCACCACATACTGACTTTCCTGAAGGATTCCTCTGCTCAAGACTGAAGTCTTTCAGGAAGGCAAAACAGTCTTATCTGTTAGGCCATTAATGTTTTATGAGTGCCATAAATCAGCTGCAATTTCTCTCCAACTTAATATGCCTGTCTTTTCTATAAGTCTACTTAAAGTTTTGTGTGTCAGGTTTTATAGATTCAGCTATCTGTGAAACCACAACTTGACCTAATTTAATAGTACTGCGTAACAGAAGAAAGCTCACTTGAGAAAACTCACTAGCCATCCTGAAATAAAGTTTATTTCTAAACTATTCAAATAAATTATTTCATAAATATTTTGAACTACATTTTTAGTTTGTTAACAATTAAGAGCTGCTGTGTCCAGTCAGGTACTGCCACTGATTAAAGTAAATTATCATGATCTAATATAGGAAAAGTCAGTTATTCAATGTGAATTGGTACACAAAATACCGGATATGCCGCACTAATCAAGTGACTAGTCCGCTTCTGTTTCTACTCTACATAATCAGTAAATTAGCCATATTTTTAATTCTAAGAAGATCCACAAAACCTGATTAAAGGCCAAAATATTATTAAATTCTGAGGCAAAATTTACTTGTATAGCTTAATACATTTCTAGTTCGAGGCAACCCAGTGAAAAATAATTTGCCATCTCTGCAAGATGTTCAAATGGGAACACCACCAAGCACACATATAGGTTTTGTAAAAAAAGACAGCAAGCTGTACTTATTCAACAAACAAAATAACAGCCAGTTTAAAAAATACAGGCTGCATCTCCAAATTATGGAACACAATTGCTACTTTTCACGAACACCACATATAACATGAATTGAGAAGCTGCAGAAGGTAGCATTACATCTAAATCTTCACATGTGAATATGAAAGAAAAATAAGAATATTTTTGTGCCTTAACTGGCTTAACTGAAAGTTGGATGGAAGCACTGATAATTCACTGCTTGCTTTCTCCCTACTGATACCAAAATGAAATGACATAGCAGCGTGCTAACTGATTGGGGGAGTCCTGTCACTGATGCAGGGGGCACCCACAATGCAGTGTCTCCCTCTAATCTTGTTCTGGCACCATGGAGTTGAGCAGCAGCTACAGGACCTGTGTGGGGAAATAGGGTAATGCTCAGAAAGCTCATGGTAAGATTCATGCTGTCCAACCTCCTGGTACCAATGCTGAACTCATGCTGCACAAGCTACCATCTCCAGGAAAAGCATTACAGTAGGTTGTCATATTTTCCTTTAAGTTTTATCAGCAGCTCAGTGTCTGCAGAGTGAGAATCCACTGGTCAGCCTACTTTTTGTTCGATCACAGGGGGTTTCTGTGTCTTTCCAAATAAGTGTATTTTTTGTCTTCATTTCCTGTGCTGTAAAAAGAGAGAGACTTTCTAAAGTCTTCTAAAATCTGTGGATGAATAGTGTCCTGCACAGTAAATTCAGAGTGCTGTCATATGCAGGCATGTCTAATTTTATGTACTCTATTTTCTCATTTTCAGAATGAGGATTGTATCACTAAGAGGTTGAACTAGAGAGTGTCACTCAAGTGTTCTGAAAACTTGAAAATGGAGACAGCATTCAATTAGTTTGCTAATTAGTCTCACCACATGCATACTTCATGAAGTTTAACTCTGCAGAGAGGCCAGGGAGCAGGAGACAGAGAACAGTGATGTTATGGTGAGCAGGCTGATATTAAATTAATGATCATTATAAGCAGATGATACTTTATCAACTGACTAATGTTGTTGACTATTAGCTGAGAATTTGTTTTATAGAAAATATGCAGTTCAGTTTACAGATCTACTGTACGAAAAATGAGCTCCTCCCCCAGTGGTACCAGTGAAGTTCCCTTGTGGCAAGATGCTGAGGCCTTCTGAAAATCCAAGGAAAAAAAAAAAAAGTTTGCAGGCACCTTGGGCAGTTTGCAGGATTACCATGTCATGATTTGTCACACTTTTAACAACTAAAACATATGTTTGCACACTCTCCAAAGTACTGGGTGCTCCTCAGGACACAGAGCACATGGACAAAGTATTAGGGCTACTACTGTATTTTTCCTGACCTACTTGGTTATTTTATATATTAATTTATATTGTAACCAAAAAACTACTGACCACCTCATATCCAGTGTGTCTGACCTTACAGTAGACTTTCCTCCCCAAGGAAAGAAGATCCCTGTGTAATGAGTAAAGAGGTATTTAGTTTAGTCAGGCATCACTTTCCTTGAGGGTTCTTCAGAGCCCTCTCCCTACTGCATCCCTTGCAGGTGTTTGCTGTGTGCTTTCTGATATGCAACAGCTTTTTGGTGGGCAATCTGCACAGGAATTGTGGGATGAAGTGCAGTTGATAGAGCGGTGACTGTGCAGCCATACAGCAAAGCTCACAGCTGCAGGATCAGAGTGGATAATAGGGAATGTGGAGTGAATAGCAGTAACATCTGAAATGCAAGGTGCAAGCCATTTATTATGGGTTTTAGAAAAACATGGAAATTAAAGAATGGCTAGAGTAGAACAATAGAAGTGGCTTCACTGGCCAGGTCAAAGTAGACAGTGTGACAAAAGGAAGAAAAACAGATTAATTGATCTCAGTAGTATTGTCAGCATGGAAGAAGGACTTAAATTTCAATAGTTAAGCATGCAGAAGAAAATAAGGCTTACTGCAAATAAAATGAATACAGTAGACACTGTCCTTGTTCTCTCTCTCCACTGTAACTTCACAGAAGTTAAACAGAATTCTTGTTGCAGCCACAGGACCAACTGATAAGTGTAATCTTTGCACTGGAGTCTGTGGCAAATCAGTAAGTAAGGGAAATGGGGTTTAAGTAGCATTTCACACAGGTCATCTCGTAGAAGCAGGAGATGTAAGCAGGCTCATTGGAAAGAAGGGTCATGGATTCAAGGAAGAACTTGCTGCTAAAAATTAGGTTACATTGTGGCAGGTTTTATGAACCTTGTAAGATGTTAGAAACTTTCAATATTTTCTTGATTGCAAAAATTTTCAATACTACTACAATTCGTATTGGAAAAGAGCTCAGAAGGTCTCTTCCCTATTTTCCTGCACCAAGCAAAGTCAGCTATGAGATCAGGTTACTCAAAGCTTTATCCAGTTCCAAGTCTGGAGACTGCAAAATCTCCCTGAACAACCTGTTCCACGGCTTCTCTTTCATCATCTGCATCTTCTTTTATCTCATTTGAGAAATTAATTAATGCTTCCAGTTGCCAATTATCGCCTATATCTGTTCCTGATTCATCCGATAGTGGCACCTTAGAATTTTTTATTCTGCTAAGGAGGCATAACTAGCTGAATTTTTTATTTCTTTTTTTTTTTACACAGTTCATACAGTATGGGCTCTGGCACTGTGAAGAGAATAAGAGCCGAGGAAGATGATGCTGTGCTATAAACTTAACCCCCCACCTTGTTCAGGGGATCATAAAGCTGTAGAGGATGGCCATGTTATGAACAGTCTCACAGTTGGTATATTTAAATTCTGTAGGCTAAAATGCTCTAGTGTAGTGCTTTTAGGAGAACCACCTGACTTCTGTACAAGCTGAAAATATTCTCACTGTCATCAGAACAAAGATTTCAGTCCCCAGGGAAGTTTTAGGAAAGAAAAGAAGCAGCTGTACAAGCATTCCTGCCAAAATAATCAACAAAACATAACTATCAGTAATTGGAGTACATGGCTGTATATTTTGCACCCTGAGAACTGCAGGGAGTCAAAATAAGAGCAACAGCTGTGGAAGAGGCAGTTAAATCAAAAGGGAAATAGAAAAGGACAGCAAGATACTCCATGATAAAAGTTTTTATTAATTTTGAGGTATGCCTTTGGGCCCTCTGAGACAGAGGTCAGGCTGCTCATCATCTCAGAAAATTAAAAATCAGCAACGTCATTTGGGTACCAAACCAAACAATGGTAAATGTTCTTCCCACACCTGTGCACAAGGTGTGGCACTCTGATCTTTCATCAAATCTCTGTTTGCAGGAAAACAGCTTGCTAGATAAAGCTATTGCCTAGTAAGAGCCTTTCATAATGTCCACTGGCCTCACAAACCTGGCTGGGTTACCCAGGAAATTTCCTCCGATGAATAATCCTTCCTGTCTGAAATTGGCATGTTTTGTGTAATTTTGTAGACACTGCAGGGTGCTCAAGGACACAATATTGGCCTGATTACACCATACTCCCTCCTCAGACATAATGCAGAATTTTCAGTCAGGATGTTGCAGCTGTTCTACCACTGTGTATTGCAGTGTTATGCAACAATTAAGGCCAGGAAACAGAGATTACTTCATACCTAGTGCAGAGTGGGTGATGACTTTTAAATATCCTCAGAGGTAAAGTTATATTTTACAATTAAACAACAAGCAAATAAACATATGAAGCAGTGGCACTGAAATCAAGCAGGAAGGCTTGATGACTTTGCTTAATGACTTTGAAATATGAAGAACTGAAAGTAGTCTAACATCAAATCACTGTAACATATGGAACATGACTTTACCAGAGCTAACTGAGCTTACCAGAAATATTTTACCTATAGGGTCATATAGAAGATGCTCCACAGGCAGTGAGGGCTACTTGATCCAAACACACAGCACACTGATGAGAAACAAGCCATAAAGAATTAAACAATAAAATGCTGCTAAATAATTTTGCTATGCATGAGGTCTGTTCTGAAAATCAGAAATTGACAGATATATAATAAACTCTTGCAAAAAGACCTATTTACTAACTACAGATATATTGCAAAATCTTACTGTTAAATATGAACTAGTTAGAAAAATGAAAATCTAGTTAGAAAAACATGAAAAATCAATTGTGTTAATGTCTAAGCAGAATTCCCTGTAGTTGTATCTCAGTAAAACCTCTAGTAAGTACTTCAGTGGAAAAGTAATGTTCTAATGCTAAAAAGCAAATGCAACAAACCTCAGTGAATCCAGTTATTTTTAATTAGTCATGCTAATTAGCACAGTGAAAGCCTCAAAAGTAAAGATGATAACGAAAGCTCAGCCTTGCCAACTGCCTATCTTCTGATACAAGACACTGGCGTTTGTGCAATTGTTTGAATACTGAACAGCCAGCAGTAGTTACTACAGTGCAAGATGCCTTTTGTTGTTGCTGTTCACTTCTTAAAAAGAACATTTGACCCTGAAGTATAAGATCTTTCAGATTCACCTAAGTTCCTGACATTATGGCGTGCCCTACAACAGCCAGTACTACAAAACAGACTTCAGTTGTTGTGCAACTTGCTGTTCCTTTCACACACACAACTACAGGAGACTTAGGGGCCAAAATTAATTCCCTTTCAACAACTATTGAAGCATGATGTTTCAATCTCATTATTTAACTGTACTCTATGATAAAAAATATTAGTGCTCAGAAAACTAGTCTATTTTAAAAAAATCAGCATTTTTAAACTAGGATTTTCTGTGGCAGTACATTTCACTTACCAGTTATGGGCAACATATATACTTTCAGTTCTAAATATATTAAAACCCCACCACTCAGTGCTTTTTCAGTTATAAAATTAAATTTAAAAGAGGCAACAATCTCTACTATTTGGATGCCCCTTTCAACCATTTTTCCAGTTCTGACAGAGTTGTAAATAATCCCACATCAATATACCATATGTGTATGAAACACACAGTATCATTGAAGTGTCAGATCAGAAAGATAAATTCTGTCAACACTGCTAGAAAACATCTTACCAATCATCTAGCAAGTATTTCCTAATTTTTGTTCTGCACAGGGCAAGATATGTAGGCAGAATAGATGGTGCAACTTGTCATTAGAAGCTCTGCTGGGAAGAAGCTGAATACTATAAACCTTCTCTTCCTCCACTCCCCTGTACCACTTCCCTATCTATATGTTAGAACACAAAACCTTTACCCTCAGTCTCCTCAGCTTTGTCCTCAGCATCAGAATATGAGACACACTCGAACTCTGCAATGGCTGGAAACTGAATTGTAGCTAGAGTCAAACATTCAGCTTTCTTCATCAGCTATGTGTATGATGCAGCCTGGTCAAAGAAAAATACCTTCAGTTTTGAAAATCTAAAAGCAGCTTGAACACTGACTATACTGTCAAGATAATATATTGAGGTACACATTTATGCTTGCCAAGATAAAGACTAAGATATCCTGCATGGTTTTGAAATGGAGTAGTGCCTGAAAGAAAATAGCAAACTGCAGTGGTATCAGATGCATATTTAGGTCTGATTTATTACATGTGAGATTTCCCCCTTTTCTGTTCTGTTTGTTTGAATTTTAATTGTGTCCAAGTATTAATTAACTGAGTTTGTTTTAATGACTTCTGTAAACTTGAAAAAATATTATTTGAGTTGGCCATGATGACTTAAATATCCTTTTCAAAACAGCATCTGGCATCCTCAGAGGTCATCAAGCACAAGTCAAAATTGTGTATCAGTAGGCAAGACAGATCAGATGTGGAGCAAGAACAGCATCTCTCAAGGTATAAAGCTATTTAAAATTATTTCCGTTCTCCCTAAGTGGCTTTATTATTATTAATATTATTTGTTTGCAGGGGTTTATAAGTGCTTAGTATCATCTAAATTCCTTATTTTTCCTTATTTGACAGCATAAATACATATGAAACATAGAATTCCAGAATATAAAAAAATGCTACTAACAATAAATAAAAAATCTAGGATTATTATCTAATAGAGTAGGCTTATGTGCATATATATAAACTTGTATTTCTGTATTCACAAACTTCCACACAATTAAATTTATACAGATTAGACCTGAAGTTTGAGTAAATCTAATGAAAATCCTGCAGCAGGAAGATGTTCAAGACTGTGCTGCTTAAATTCCCTGCAAGAAGAACACAATAACCCAAATAGTTTTTCACCAGCTAAACCTTGCTCATCTTGCTTTGTAATCAAGTCATTTGATTCAAATGATGTACAAGAGAAAAGCAGAATTTGGCTTTGCAGTGTACTATTAATTTAAACAAGCAAGTTCTTCTAAAATAAGATGATAATGACTTTATTACAGTTTAAAATACTAAATATGAGAGTAAACATAAAATAAATCCTTTTACAGTTCTTACTCAGAAAAAGAAATGCATTTCATTTCCCAGTGTCATTTCTGAAAAAAAATTTCCAGTTTTTCAGTCATTCAAATAATATATTTTATTCTCCAAAGTGTTAGGTGTTTTATTAAAAAGATAGTGGTAGAGCACTAATGGAGAAAGCACACAGTCTGCTGGAGTCTAGTTAAGTGCATGATTGAAAATAAGCCTGACAAAGTCTCCTGGCAACACTTTGTGGAAAACACAGTAAACAAATAAGTGTAAGTTACATGAACAGTAACTGAATGCTAGAGCCTTCATTTCTTAGCCAAAAATACTTCCAATGGCTCTATGTGCATACATTGCATCCATTTCAGTAGCAAACAATATATGTTAGGCTGTATACAGTAGACTCACTTAAGAGAGGATTAAAAGTCAATTAAATACTTCAGATAAAAAGTAAAATTTTAAAAAAAGAGAGAAATTATTGTCCTTCTCTGATTTTTAAAGAGATCATGACCTCCTTCTAGTTAATACAATTTTTAATCAGATACCTTAGTGTAATCTCTGCAGTAGCTGTGTAAGTAATAGTGTAAATCTGATAGTTGCAAGGACTATGAGGCCTTTTCAGCAGGTGTTGGCTAAACCTGCTCTGCTTTAATTGTGCTGATTACTGTATAAATTTTAGAACAGTTGTGATAGATTTATTACCTTAACTCTGCTAACCATTAAGCCAAGCACAGCCTGTGACACCACTGTCAGGGGCTCAGACATAGGGGTTTTTCCTACTGGGACAGAGAACTCCTGAATCCCTGTAGTCAAACCTTAACCATACTCTGTGTCTAAGAGTGGCTTTATATTTTGAATTGTGTTTTGAGCTCTGGACACTGTCTATAAGAGGATTTTGACCAATTCATTATCTCCTGGATAATAATTTTTCAGGATTTCACTGAAAGTGGAAACTCAGTGAAGGCTAAGAAAATACAAAGAAAGTAAAAAATAGTTGCCCATTTTCCCTTCTTTAGAGAGAACTTTCATCTGTTTGGACTGGAATAATTCCAGAAATGTATGTTCCTTCATTACAATTTATTGTATGCCTCTCTGTTTGTTCTGGTCTGGAGAGAATCAAATGTAGTCACATCTTGTCCATGTTGCTTGCAATTTAACCATTTTACTAATGGCTACTCTGAATTTTTCCCCTTTATGCACTGATGCTGAAAGGACTGTCACTTCAACCTACTGAGAACTATAAGCAACCTATAAGCAAAATCTGGCAAGGCTTGTTTAGTTTAAATTCAGTATTTTTATTTCTGACTTTCACTGCTAACCAGGGTCACTACTTCTTAGTAAGTCTGCCAAGTTACACTGATACTGTTGTATTTATAACCTTGTAAAAAGGTTTTAAAAGTTTGCTTTAACACTATTAACTACACTTACATTGTGTGTAGGCTAAGATATTAACTTAGAGGTATCTAGTGCTATTTTGGGTTTGTTTTGTTCTCCAGACAGCTACTATACTGATTTCTAAAATGCTAAATACCAGTACCTTTCCTTAAAGAAATGTCAGAATATTAATAAAAAGGATGTTACTCAAATGTTCAGTGTTACAAAATTGTATGATTTATCTTGGCTACCTCTCTCACATGTGATAATGCATTTCAGTGGCAGAAAGACCTTAATTCTATTACCTAAATTACTGTTAAATTCAGAGCCATGGGCAAAGCTTTGCTAAATATTTAACAATTAAAATACATACCAGGAATTATGCAATGATACCTCTCTCTCCCTTGTGGTTATTCTTGCTCCAAATGATGAACTCACATTATAAAAATCAGCACTGAAAATACCAGGAATGGAGACAGCATTACTGCATTTTAAGTTACTGCATCAGATACAGCAAACATTAAAAACCTATCAGCATTTTCATTGCTGGTTTCTCAGTTCTAGTGGTCCTGCCTTGAAAGAGAAGGAAATACTTTGAGGGCTATTACACTATGTAAAACATAAGATTTACATAAGATTACATTATGTAAAACATAAGATATGTAAAACATATGGCAGTAGTTACAGCCTGCCATAGGCCCCTCTTCCTTAATTGCAACAGCTGTAGTTACTCCAAAAACTGTGGTAAAGTAGGAAAGAGTATAGGATCAGTGATGGTGTTTCACAGGAGAGTATTTGGTGAAAACAGCTAAATCTAAGTGATGTTTAGACTTTAAATAAGATGACAATCATAGTAAGGCTTAAGGCACAGCAACTTGCAGCCAGGGAATTTTGCCTTTTTAAATGTTATGTCAACATGACAAATAGAAATGTTTTGTTCTGTGATAACACAAAATAATTGTTTCATGAACTGTTTTCTGTGAGCTGCTCTGTCAGAAGTCACCTAGCTGTGGAATGCTTAGTCTGCTGTTCCATGAGAACTTGACCAGAATATTTCCTTTCCAGCTACTGAGATGAAGGATCTAGGTTTCCAAGCAAGCATGAAGGTTTAAAACAGTCAACATAAAAACTGTGATAAAATTAAAATACATACACATTTGCCATTCAGTGCAGTGAATATTTCTGCAATGAGTAGTTTTCTGACTGTGACTTCATAAAGCAAAAATACCCCTATTTTAAATACAGAAACAGTAATTTAAACATGGAATACTAATGCTCATAGGTGGAATGTGAATAAAAGCCAGGACCTTCAAGTTCTGTTCCTCACCCTGCCAACTCACACAGCTGTGGCTTAGATTTCCTATCTGTATTCACCCATCTCAGGCATTTTGAGTTCTGTGGACCCAAAAGCACTAAGTATCACATTCAGCATAAAAGGATGGTGAACAAGTATAACCCTCAGGACTGAAAGTTCTGCAGTGGGTTGTTTCTTTGGGTCCCAGGTTGTTTTGCCACGTGTGCAGGCTGATTTGTACCAAAACTTTGAATAGAGAGAAGAAAAATAAAATTGGACAGGAATAAGGACAGTGGGTAATGGCATAAATGGGAAGGTCTCAGCACAGCCTAAGACAGAAAGAATGAAGTTTAAAATAAATGAAGTCTAACAAAGTTTTTGGTAACATGGCCACTGGCACATTAGAATTTGATAACCTTAGTGTTTCCCTTCAAATTACTCCTATCTCCAGTCTTGGAAAAATATCTCTCTAGTGGCTCTACTTGCCCAGTAGCAGGAGCTAAGCCCAAATGTATGTGACAGTGAGAACAAAAGCACAAAAAGCACATGACAGCAAGACATCTAATAAAACAACCTAGGCAAGATCCTAATCCAGCTGGGCATCTTAGAGCAAACAGCCTTACCTTCACTCTTGCCTCAGAGAGCCTTGCATAGGTATTATGTATTTCCCCCTTTCTCCAGTCTGCTCAGACATGTTCTGTTCTGCCCAAGCTCTCACTTAGGTGTCTGTTGTGTGCCTATGGAATGTGCTTTATGGGGCTGTAACCTATCTCAGCTGAAATTACCAAATCCCTGATTCCAAGAGACCCATATCATGGGAGCAAAAGCAGGCTGCCACTTCCATACCTTCAGCCTATCCTGCTCAGGCCTGCCTACTCCTCCAAAACCATCTAATCTCTGGGTCTTATCTTCCAGAAAGTATCAGTTGTACATAGTATTAAACACAGTACTTACTGTCATGGAGGCACTCCCAACAGGAAAGAGAAGCAAGCCCATAATTATCCTCCAGTCTTCTCCAGACTTCCTAACTCAGCTTCCAAAAAGCAGACTTACTGGGCAGGTTGACTCTTCACTCAGAGTGTTTTTGCTGCAATTCTCTTTTCCTTTTCTCATTAGGCAGAAGTATTAGCACTAATCTGATTTTATATCAAAATGGCCAATCCAAGATAATCCAAATGAGGCATCTGTTCCAGTGTTCCTGAGCAGTTCTAAGCCTCTCATATGTCTGCTCTTTGGTTGCACCAACAGAAGAGCTTCCAACATCCAGGCACCAGGCTTTCATCTCCATACTGCAAACAAAATGTTTGTTTTGTAAGACAGAGCACTTGAATTTTTAAGATCCCTGAACATTCACTGCTCAAAATGAGTATCTGGAATTCTGATCCCAAATTCAAAACAGTTACTGCAGTAAACCTGTGCATTGGTTATTCAGAGTATGTGAGGGACTGCCCTGCAACAGACAAACCTAAATCTTTTAGTTCTGCATTTCTAAGTGAAATTCAGCACTAACATGAACTTAGCTCCCTTTTAAAGTTTAACAAAGTGCACAACAAATTATTATGAAAAATCAAACTGTCTTTTCAACTACAGCAACAAAAGATCTGGAGAAAGGCTCTTGTATACATTAGAGTCACTTCAATTTTACACTGAAGAACAGAGTGGACTTGGAAAAGTCTATTTTTATATCCTCTCTTACTTCAGCTATCGTGACAACAGCCTTAAAATCCTCCATGTGAAAGTGATGAAACTCTGCTTTTAATTAGAAAATTAATAATTTTATGCTTGTGAACTACACAGAATATTTGTGCAAATGAGTTCTCAAATTGCTTTAACAGTGTATCAGAAGGTGCTGAAAAAACTGACTGTACTTCAAGACAATAAAAGTGCTCAGACTTCTTTTATTTGCAGTGACAGGACTGTTAAAGTATGATTATAGGTTTTGTAAGGTTTCTTGTGTAACTGACAATCTAGGTACTTAACCTAAGGAAACAAACCACAACTTTGCCTAGATTCCAGTGCATATATCCAGATCCCTGGCTGTGTAAATTGACCTAACTCCCTTCACATCCTGATGCCTCAAATTAGCAGAAGGATTACCATAAAGCAAACCCAACTAATTTCAACAATTTGAATTGTCAATAGACTGGTATAAATTAGCAAATTAAAATATAGGTTCAGCTGTGAAATTAACACAGAGATTGACGTTACATCTCAGAATCTACTCAGGTGAATTATGATGATACAATGTCTGAATACAAAATAACCCAGGATCAGAGCTGTGCATGTTCCAAAACAGACAAAAACCTACATAAATGCAGTATCCTCTGACTGTGCTCTCCCCTTTTAGAGACCTCATCCACCTGCCTTTCATGGCTGGCCCTACTCTCTCTTTGACTGTCTCTTTGCAGCCAGCACAGTTTCAGCTTGCTCTCTTGTGGCCAACATTAGAGCTACAATTATCCTGATGCCATTCCTCTCCAAAGGCCTCTGTGACCGGTTCTTCTAAAGCATGACCAGTTTCCTCAGATTACAGTCACTTACAGCCGAACCTCATAAACCACTCAGACTTGAACCCACAACCGATTATGGTGGCTTAACATGTTACCAAGCATCAGCTGAGAGATACAGAACTGAGTACACACGGATTTCCAGCCTGAAGCAAAAAACATGGAAACTTTGAGGCTGCTAAGCCTCCAAGACAGTATCAGTCCTACCCTGTGCCTCTCACAGCTGTTAAATCTCCCAACACAAATGTACTGCCAAGATCATGAACAGAGGTCTTCAAGACATGACAGTGCTGTCACAAGAATGGTCTCACCTCTTCAGCGTGGTTTTAACAGCAGCTTTTTGGAGCTTGATTATTTAAAGGTAACTGCTTTGGCCATGCATTTGCTAACAGGTGATAGCAACTTCAAAGACTTTCTGGCATCAGTAAGTACTTCTGGTTTTTAGCTGTCTGCATGACTTGTTGAGTAATTTGTGTCATTTTTTATAAAGATTCCAGATACTGAAAAGGTGAGGGCTTTAAAAGACTGAACTATTCCTTGATACTTTATTAACACTGTGTCAGGCATTATTAACCTCCAGAAACAGTTTCATGATAGTAAAAAACAAAAATAGTAGAGAACACCAAAGCTGGCACAAGTGCACAGACACAAGCAGAACTACCAGAGATGTGTCACTGAATGACATTGCCCACTTAGCTGTCAGCCAGATGAGCTCTAAGTGCCCTCCCCAGATCTCAGGAATAACAGTGCAGACACACCACAACACCAGAACTGCAGCAGCCCTGAAATGAGCTTGAATGGAGATGACAGTGCTCTGCACAGGGAGTGAAAAGGTGCCAACCTTTCCCTTTGCTGAGTTGCAAACATTATTGTGCAAATGCTGCTCTTATTGTGGGTATGACTGCAATTTCAGGAGTGATCCTGTCAGAGGAATTCATTCATTTTTAAAAGGACCTATCAAAAGCCAACTCCTTATCAGTAGAAGAATCATCAATTTGTGGTAAGACCAGAAGCTAAAACCACTCCACATTTGCTATTATGCCTCATGATAAGATAAGAGTCATGGTAATTCATGACTCTTCTGAAACAATCAATAACACTGAGTGATGGATTTTTGATTAATAATCATTAACTGCATTTATTACTGAGCATAAAAAGGATAATCAGTACAGAAATTATACTTTGACTACTGGGTTACTTGATCATCAACCTTTGTAACATATGAACAACAAATAAAACACTTGGGCAGCAGAGGGTTGGGAGTTATTTAAACTGAACAAATTACTCAACAGAACAATACTGACAAGCTACAAAGCACGCTGAGCAACAGCACCAAAACTGATCTATGTGGCCCAGATATGTGTATTTCTACTAGAATTCAAATGACAAGCCCCAGAACCACTCCAACCCATAAAAATGAGACAATGATGCATTTATAAAGACAGGTAGGCATATGACATATTTATAGTACAATGGAAGAGACAGAAATGTTGAGATCATCTTAGGTGGATGATCTTAAACATCTATCCTGTATAATAATAATAATAATAATAATAATAATAATAATAATAATAATAATAATAATATCATTATAATAAAAATGATAAAATATTATTTATAATAATGAAATCATAAAATCCTAG